TGTGTGTGTGTGTGTGTGTGTGTGTGTGTGTGTGTGTGTGTGTGTGTAGGGGACACACTCGGGGAAGGAGTAAGCTTCCTAGCCTATTCAGACTCATTGCCGCCCAAAAGCCAAAAGCCCTGGTCCATGTAATGGAAACCACAGTTCAGCTTCTTCAGAATTCCAGCCTTTCATGGCTGCTGTCAGCCGAATTAGGCAGGCCATCTGTAACACTTGTTTCCTTGTAACCAACCACCTGCAGGTGTGGGCTAGCCTTGCCTCCAGATCCTCAGGGCACAGCTCCCTTTGTGCTTAAGGCTACATCTCCACAGGTTCTGGGAAGCTGTGTGGCATTGCTCGAGAACATTATCTGCCCCTCATAGGTCTCTGATCTACCAGCTTCTACCAGTTCCCCTCTCCTCCATCATGGTGGCTAGCTAGGTTGTGTGGTGACGGGACTCCTCACGCATGCTTTGATATAACAGCCTCATGTCAGTTCCTAAGGTATGGCCGGCTCCATTTTGAACTTCACCCTTCATGTGTTTCATCAAAAACATATCTCTCGGGGCTGGAGAGATGGCTCAGTGGTTAAGAGCACTGACTGCTCTTCCAGAGGTCCTGAGTTCAATTCCCAGCAACCATATCATGGCTCACAACCATCTGTAATAAGATCCGATGCCCTCTTCTGGTGTGTGTCTGAAGGCAGCTACACTGTACTCAAACGTCAAATAAATAAATAAATAAATAAATCTTTAAAAAAAAACAAACCTATCTCTCAGGGCTGGAGAGATGGCTCAACTGTTAGAGCACTTGCTGCTCTGGCAAAAGATCCAAGTTTGATTCACAGCAACCACATGGTAGCCCACAACCACCTGGGCCTCTAGTTCCAGGGCATCTGACACCCTCTTCTGGCCTCCTCAGACAGGGCACATATAGGCCAGTGCACACATTAAAAAAAAAAAAAAAATCAAAACTCTCATATCTTGGGGCCAGCTAGACAGGATGAAAAAGAAGGGAGACAGTTCCTCTTCACATCTGTAGAGTGAGGAAGGCCAGGGAGAAGGAACAGGAGTCCCTCCATCTAATGAGCCACTTTAAAGCTGTGGGCTGACATCAGCAATACATCCTGCCTTAAGTTACAAACAGTATAAGACAAGATGTGGCTTCAGCTACCAATCCTCAAGCTCTGGACTCTCTGGCTGACTCCCTGCTGGTATGCACTTATTTCTTTTAGCTTTCAACTTGACAACAGCCTACAGTCATCTGGGAAGAGGGTCTCAAAGAAGAACTGTCTACATTGGGTTGACCTGTGGGGATTGTCTTGATTAACTAATGTAGGAAGAGACTGCCCACTGTGGGCAGCACCATTCCCTAGGCAGTCCTCCCACACTGTATGAGAGAAGAGAAAGCTGAGGAATGAAACAACCAGGATTCATGGGTTATTCTCTCTCTGCTCTTGACTGTGGACATGAGGCTTTAAGTTCCTGCCTGGATGTCCTCATTATAATAGACTGTGACTGGAATTGTGAGCTTTTTGTCAGGGTATTTGTGACAGAATCAAAGATGAACCTAGAACTCCATATAAATTAGTAACTGGGTGTTGAAACCCTCTGTGACCACTGCTGCTTTAAACACTTTAAAAGATCTTGACCAAAGCAGTAAGGCAAGAAACAAGGAAGTTCAAAGACTAAAGAACAAAAAGCTAGCCGGGCGATGGTGGCACACGCCTTTAATCCCAGCGCTTGGGAGGCAGAGGCAGGTAGATTTCTGAGTTCGAGGCCAGCCTGGTCTACAAAGTGAGTTCCAGGACAGCCAGGACTATACAGAGAAACCCTGTCTTGAAAAAAACAAAACAAAACAAAACAAAAAGAACGAAAAGCTACCATCTGAGGGGATTGTGAATCCAGACCTAGAGAATCCCACAGACTCAGCAGACAGATGCCAGGTCCTTTGATAGAGCAACTTCTGTCCCCATAGAACTCTCACTCTGGTTGGGTGGAGGAGTGAGGCCACTGATTGGTAAGACACAACAATCCAAAGAACAAACAATTCAGGACCGCATTTCAAGGTAACTTTGTACACTGAGAGAAAAACATTGCTCTGAAAAGAAGCCACAGTTTGCAGGAAAGCTTCTGAGTTGTGTGGTTTGGACATTTGCTGGTTTGTTCTCAAGTACGAGGAAGTCCCTGTCGGGTTGTTCCCCCCCTCACCCCACCCCTACCCCATCCTTCACATTTCTGCCCCAGCTTTCGTGAGAATCCACCGCTGTCCAGATGTAGTGATCTTACCCTCTCTCCTCCTGATGCTCATAGAACAGATCAAGGAAGACCTAAGCCCAGGGCCTGGAGGCTATTTCTGTTTGAGCTTTCTTTCCCCCTCCCCTAGCAAGGAAAGACGGCTGCCTTCAAGGGCTCTGGTGTCTCCAGTGTCTCCAGTGGCTGCAGCCAACCACTTCCCTTCCCAGAACACACAGGAGCTCGTGAGAAGAGGGAAAGGAATCAGGAAGAGGATGCGGTTTCAGCCAGGGATGGGTTTGGAGTTCCCAGAGTTACATTGGTTGCCTGGGCCTACCTCCATGTGATTCACTACCATCTGTGACAGCCCTGTATGTATGTATGTATGTATGTATGTATGTATGTATGTATGTATGTATGTATTTATCTATGTATGTATGTATGTATGTATTTATCTATGTATGTATGTATGTAT